TTCTGTAGCTGTTGACGCGTACTGAACCATCCAAACGTACGGCGCAAAGTTGGCTGTTAACCGGGATACATTCGAGAAGTTCATAGTCCATGGGCACTCACAACACAGTTTACTGGAGTTCTCAATTATCTCTTTGACTATACTTTCACCTTGCTGTCTTCCTCCAAAAGACAGCAACCAAAACCGGCGCACGAAATTGCATGGTTAACGGTTGTTCAAAATGAAACTGAAAGTGAAAGGTTATTCTCCAATTTTGCTCTTCAAACCCATACACGCACATCACTCCTACCCTCACTAACACAATCACGTCACACCATTGCCAACCATACTGAAGAATACGAAACACACAAATAGTCTGCGTCATTTATCGCTCGACATCCGTTATTCATGACTCATGGTCTGCACCTTGGAAGCCGATTTAAGATTATTTATGCAAATACCAAACCCTGGCTAATTAGCTTCGTGGAGTCGGCTGTAATTATAAGATGAAAACCTGGATTTTGTGTGCAAAAAGAACTGTCAGTCGCACAATCACAACCCCGCCAGTAGTAAACTAAAGTGGGATCATTCGGCCCAGTCGTATTTGTGTGTAACTGATGTACCGTTTAACGATATATAAACTTTCGTTTTCTATCGTATTACACCAGTTAAGATGCAATAAAATCCTCCTTGGAATGAATCATGCAACCTAACCTTGCTGTGATCTCTTCAACTGTCCGTATCGTTGAGTTAGTTGATTATTTACCATTGTACTAGGTGCAAAGAAAGTGGACAAAGACCGCTGGATAACATGTTAACCATGATTAATTCATATTTTCAGCCATTTTATTTTCACCGTCTGTGTTTGATCTGTGCCCTGAAAAAATAATGAGTCTTCCCGAAGGATGGATTTCAAAAGTTAGCAGCAGTACTGGTAAGTGCGCGCTTGTTTGCATATGTTTGTTATTGAATACCAGGTAAAACATACTATGTGAACACCATAACACAAGAATCTCAGTGGGATTTACCGCAACATCCCGCATCTTCTAGTTCAGGCAAAGTACGTTGTTTACACTTGCTCGTGAAACATTCGGGCTCTCGACGGCCGTCATCCTGGAAGGAGGCAAATATTACCCGATCAAAAGAAGAGGCGCTGGAGATAATAAAGCGTAGGTTTGACACTTGTTAAACATGTCATAACATCCCACTTGAGTGCTTGTTTATCCAATCAGTGTTGAAATATTGAGTGCGCACAAGCTTCTGTTTACCTTTTCTGGGTCTTTAAAAAATGCGCTGATTGTAATAGCTATTCAATTTGTTGTAATAAGCCTCATTCTTCTTGCAGAGGTCGATAAAATATTGCAATCACCATAAGGTCATTGCGGAGTTCCTCTAATATACACAGGTTCTTCTAATTAGTGGAATGCAATCTGATAATGGATTTGCATAGGTTCAGACTCGCGGTGCAAATCTTGTCAAATGTTTATTTTTTGTGTTTGGTCAATCCGATATTTGGTAACTTGTATCCATCCTGTCGACTGTGAGCCTTCAAAGTCCATTAGGGTCTATCTCATTATACAATTAGGTCCGAAATGTCCACCTGACGTGATCTATAACCCAATTGACTACAGGCCATTATGATCTAAATATTTAAAGCCTGCTGCGATCGTAGTTATCAGAACAGGTACAACTGAGTTTGTGGATATACAGATAGCACCGTTAATGGATTCAAGAACCGAAATATGAATGCACTTTTTGGGTAAAGTTGACTGATTGATGGTTGACGTGTTTTGTTAAAACGATCACAGAGTTGGTATACTGAAACAACTTTTACCTGCAATGAACTTGAACGGAAAACACTACGTTTACGTTGCACGATTTGTACTCGGATATATTTTGTTGTATCCCACCAGATGAATACTACAGAATATTTAATTTCATTGATCACAACCGGTTGATAAAAATTACCGGTTAAAAACATACAACTGTCACGGTTTTTACCAACGTAACGTACAACTCCGTTTTCTCACACAAAATAGGCTTCCATTTCTGAACCGCAATTGATTCAGAAAACGTGAATTAATATTGGATAGGATCACGAAGAACGCAATAGTTTAGTCGAACCGATGTTTAGTCTGAATCGAATGACGTGCCATGGAAGAGGCTGGTTGCTGTGTGGTCGGTAAACTTTGACCTGTTTTCCACTGGTTGAAAAAAGTGTCCGCCGATCGTGAGACATGTTCAGTAACTCTTAGTGGAAGTTGCCGTCCAGTTAAGTCTAGATAGGTGGTCGAGTACCCACACGTGAACGTGTATAGGTGTGACTTGGTATGAACTGGTAACGGCTGTTTGACTGAGGGCGAAGTGTATATGTCTTTATGTATGAAACAGAACAGGGTCAGCGGCATGGTATGACTGATTGCCGATTTGAGGCAGCTTGCAAACAGTTCGGTTATATCGTCGCCCTTGAATGGCCGCTGCAAGAAAACGATGCAGTTCCGGACAAATATTGTCAGTTATTTTGGCTCGTGTACAGTGCGATGTCTTTTTACCAACGTCTTTAGGTAGCCATAGGACTGAAAAACGTTGTTTAGTAGATCTATCTCGTCTTCTAGCGTATCGGGTGTATACAATGTATGAGTTCTATTGTACATTGTTCTCACTCAGCCATACAAAGCTGGTCCGACCATGTGCGTTTACGGTATACAGATCGGCACACATTGCCGTCTTGACGTCTGGTTATCAGCAAATCCAGAATTGTAAAGTTGTCACGTTCGTGCTCGGTGCAAAGCTTTATATTACTGTGGATGGTTCTATTTTGCCTGAAAAGGATCCGTGAACACTAACCGGCAGTCAGGAGTTATGACCCACTATCTTTGATTTCCCTCGAAGAAGATCAAGAAGGGCATCAGTTTGACTTCGATTCAATGACAATTATCGACCAAGCCCGGTCAAAACTCGTCAGAGAATTTCTCGAAGCCTGGCACTCCTCAATCGACTCAAGAAGCATGCACAAAACTGGATCACGTGGACACGCCAATGCAATTCAAGGATCTAACGACGCAACAAAAAAGGTCACGCTGTGACCTGAGAACCAACCGAAACCGTAATCAGGATGGAGGGCCAACCACCTCCCCTACCAACCTCACCCCCACGCACCAGTTGAACGGCAAACCGAGTCGAACAAATTGAGAACAAGGGACAACAGTGGTCGGTGGAGAAGAACACATATAAACGAACGGATACAAGCAGAAGACTGCCACCTCACAAGCACTGATGCTGTCACCTCAGCTGGTGATGAAACGTTTGCAAACTAATTGCTAAGCTCAGCGAACAGNAACAGGTTAAATATAATTCAGTTCACCCGAGCTACGAAAACCGATTTTCAACACTTTGTCAACTGTGGATGGTATTGCATTTGTGGAAAAGGTTAACAGAATCCTGTCGAGAGTTGTTGATTAGAGTAATATCGTCCACATATCTTCCGTAAAACAATCTTTTGCTGATGGCATCTCTCAGTTTATTCTCGATGCTTGCCACAAAGATGTCCGCCAGTATGAGTCCTATTGGATTTCCCATGGAAACGTCGTCAACCTGGAGAAAATAACCGCCTTGAAATTTGAAACATGTTTTCAGGATATCTCGGGATTAGACACTCCAAATTCCTCACTGGAATTTCCCCATTGGTGTTTTGTTACTGAATATAATTACAAATGAAGTTGACTGTTTCGTGCGATGGCACGTTGATGAACAGTGATGTCACACCCATGTTAGACAAACGTCGGCCTTTAATATCTATGTTGTCGAGAGACTGCGCGAACTCGAAACTGTCTTTAATACCGTAGCTCGCCAGTGTATTGGTGATTGGTTTTAGTGTTTTGACCAACCAGTTGGCTTGCTTGCGTTGAGGCGAGTTGGTAATTCATAAAATGGGTCTTTATTAAATCGCTTTGCTGCAACAAGACACGCGCACACCCGTCCTAACCAGGAGGTATTCCGCCCCGNTGCGTTGACCAAATATTCACATTACGTCGACCCTTGAAACATTGCCATGGGTTTCAACAATTCAAAGCAGTCCGCTTCATTGATTTTCATGCGGTATTCAATCCCGTGGATCACGAGTCACTTTGGAGCATACTTCTGACAGTTGGTGTGAACACCATGAGATCCTACTACTCCAACACTAGTGCCCGAATCCGCATCTACGGCGAGGNTTGTCCCCAATGCTGTTCAACTTTACCGTTGATGGTATAATGGTCGCTCGATGTAAGGATACCAGGGAGTTCAGATCTCTCCGAATTCGAATTCGCTGGTAATATTGTCGTCTTTGGTGAGGATACGTCCGAAATCCAAGTAATGGTTGACCACGTCAATCGCAAAGCCTCCAATATCAGCCTAAAGGTGAATACATCAAAAATCAAAACATTTGCGACAGTCCTCATTCATCCCGAAGATGCTTTACTAATAAACGGCGATCCGATCGATTCTGCCGAAAGCTTTAAATACCTGGGCTCAACCATACTCCCCAACAGTCAAGCTAAAGACGAGGTACAAGTGCGCGTCGATGGAATGAAATCAGCCTAAAGAGAAGAATATGAGTTTCCTCCGCAGCAGTCCGTTCTATTTTACGTTACAGCTGTAAAACCTGGCAACTTAAAATGAAAGACGATTAGAAGTCTTCGATCACTGGTGCCTGAGAATCATTCTAAGAGTTCGAGGGAGGGAACAACTCTCAAATGAAGCAACCAGAAACCGGTGTTTTAATTTTATACGGCTGCGAACGCTAATACAATGACGGCGACTACAATAGTCTGGTCAAATAACTCAAGTCTGACGACGGTCTGACCAAATCTGCCTTGGTACCGTCTTCCTATCTGAACTGTCGCTGTTGACACGGTGGTCGGCTGAAAATCTGGCTAAACACGGTACGCGAAGATACGGAAAACCTTCATTTCCGCTCCGTCTATTGTAATTGCGAATGGAAGTCAAGTTGGATCACAATATGTGCTGATTTTACCGCAGGCCGCCGAGCATGGGCAGCGGCAATTCGGGATGTCCATGAAGGCGGCTTATCCTCTCCTAGGAGCCAGCCGCCGTTAGGTAAAGTAAGTCTTAACGGTATCCTGAGTTTGTGTAATTTCTACAAACCATAGAGCTAAGATAGTTGGCTTGCGCCAGGTTTGAGTTGTTTCGAGGTGAACGCATCAATGAATCCCCTGTCAAATAGTAGGTGTACATCTTGTGAGACACTTGTCCCTAGGCTTGTCAAATGGTCTTCCTTGCTGCACTTTTGAAACTTGGATGGATCTTCCAGGATGGTCTCCATTTTCGCTATGTAAGCCATTCTGTCCAGAATGCCAACTCCTGATTCTTTATCGGGTTGTAAAACGGTGATATCTTTATTGTGTCTCAAGTCTCGTAGGGCTTTTCTGATTATCAATTAGAAGGTTCCTTTGTCGAGATGGAGTGTATTCATATTGAGTTCGATCACATGCTGGAACTGTTCTTCATTCGCCCTTTAAATGTCCCTTGTCCCCCTCTCATCTGGTCCCTAAAAGTAATTGCAACTGGATACGTGCGGTGACTAACCGAGTTACCGTTTCAGATGGGTACCTCATCGCACATTTACAGAATATCAGATCGTTCTAATCTGGTTCTTGTGTATTCAGTCGCATCCACCTTATCCGTGCATACCGCCGAATTCGGCAATCAGTCATACCATGCCGCTGACCCTGTTCTGTTTCATACATAAAGACATATACACTTCGCCCTCAGTCAAACAGCCGTTACCAGTTCATACCAAGTCACACCTATACACGTTCACGTGTGGGTACTCGACCACCTATCTAGACTTAACTGGACGGCAACTTCCACTAAGAGTTACTGAACATGTCTCACGATCGGCGGACACTTTTTTCAACCAGTGGAAAACAGGTCAAAGTTTACCGACCACACAGCAACCAGCCTCTTCCATGGCACGTCATTCGATTCAGACTAAACATCGGTTCGACTAAACTATTGCGTTCTTCGTGATCCTATCCAATATTAATTCACGTTTTCTGAATCAATTGCGGTTCAGAAATGGAAGCCTATTTTGTGTGAGAAAACGGAGTTGTACGTTACGTTGGTAAAAACCGTGACAGTTGTATGTTTTTAACCGGTAATTTTTATCAACCGGTTGTGATCAATGAAATTAAATATTCTGTAGTATTCATCTGGTGGGATGCAACGAATCATCCCCGTTATAAATCGTTCAAGGTACGCGTCTTCTCTTATGTTCTAGTTCTACTCTCCGAATTTCTACCGCCGCAGCCCAATGTTGCTTTGGGGCATCCATTGAAAAGAGGAATTCTCGCTCGATTCTCATCCTTGTTATGCAATATTCTCTTCCTCTTTTGACCTCGACTTCTCACTGGTTACTTTGAGTACGATCGCTAACTTTCCACTGACTTATGTTCTTCAGAAAATTTGATTTTGTAAGACGATTATTATTCGTCCCTATTACGACCGTTCGTCGAGAATCTTAATTTCGCTGTATTAGAGGAAACTTTAATGATCCTTATCCAAGTGCTGCGCAAGTTCGTCATAATGACTTTCATCGCGAATACATTCATTTTTCCTTCAATCGTTCTCTCAAAACAGAGGGTGCACACCAAGTTTACGGGGGATGCAACTTGTGACAGCACAGGAAAATGTGATTCCTCCCTGTTAAGTTCAAAATGCTTCTTGCATATTCAATTTTACCTTCACTCGCTACCCCGTTCCATCTATTTTCTTCATTTTCAGGACACAAACAACGCATCGAAGCTGGTGAGATCGAATTCGCTGACCTGGCCAGCACGGAGAGCGATTGCGGCTCGGCCCAGAACGGTGGTGATTTGGGTTTTTTCAGTCGAGGCCAGATGCAGAAACCGTTCGAGGATGCGGCTTTCCAGTTGGAAGTGGGTGAAATGTGCGGCCCGGTGTTCACCGATTCAGGCATTCATTTGATCAAACGAATTGCTTGAATCTTCCTCGTTCTGTTTGTCATCCGAATCGCATTGATGCTATAAGCGGTCTTTTTGTAAAGATTTATTCGTATCAGTTTTTCTTCTTCTATCCCAGAAGCACACAAAGGTTTCCGTGATTTATCTGTTCGACAGTGTTGAATTTGTACAGAATGAATGAAACCAGTAATCACGTAACTTATTGTATACGTTTTTTTCGGATAATAAGGTAGATTCCCAAACTCAGCACACTTTTTCAGCGTGCTTTTAAATATGAACCATACCTGTAAATTAAGCTCTAATTAAAACAAAGAGCTACCGGATTATTCCATAAATCTGAGGTACACTATCAAAAGCCTCAGCATGATCCGGGTTGGGTGTCTTGGGTTTTTACTGGTCACTCTTCTCTTTCACAGCGCGAACTTCCCCTGTACGACCAAGTTTCTCTCAACTAGTCTCTGCTGAGTAAGCCCCACTCACTTCCTTCTGGTGGCGCACCAGAGTTAGAGGACGAAAAGCCAACATTCGGGTCTATTACCGGGTTGGTGAGCCACTGATAGTTAACCTAGGAGAGTTAGATAGAG